CTAAGGAGGAAACACAAAAAAATGCGGCTCTTTTTTTTTGACTAAAGGCAGGTTTGTGATTTGTGCCTCTCGAAGTTCACACCCTAAGCTCTTGAATTTGTTCAATTTCATTGGTTTTCCAAATGTAAGATGCAAGAACATGGTGAGCCGACAACTTAGCTCTAAAGGTTGGGAGAATTTTACAAAGATAAAAGGGAAGCACGTACAGCGCTAAATCTGCAAAGCAGAACTCTCCTATCACGGGAGCATAACAGTGATGCACGCACGATCAACTTAAAAGGAAGCACGTTGTGTAAGCTATATACCTCTCGTTAGCTGCTAACATCAACAGTTACTTGCATTTTTAGCTGTAGTGATGACAATTTTTTTTATCTTTAGCACACGCGTGTCTCGTATTTGCTATAACGTTTCAAATGCTAAAGATTTATTGTATCCTGCTATGTCAGTGTTTAAAAAAGGGCTCCTCTTCAATGGAAAACTTTTGAATTGAATGTCAATTATTGAAATAATCGTTTGTGGCACCTTTATAACAGAACAAGTGAAATGTTGCATTTTTTATTGAAGCTTCTCAATAGTGTGGTCATGAAGCAGAAAAAACCTGGTTTCTAATTGAACAAACAACGGTCTACAGCTAAGATTTTAAAGCTTTTAGCACAGCAGAAAAAGCCTTTATTCCACACCTCACTGGCACAATGCTGAGTCTAATAGAGCTACTTTACAATAACGAGCATGCAGGTATCAAGTTCTGTGTTTACATACCTGTATTGACCAAATAACCTGTTGGCCAAACTGATGCCACTCCCTTCAAAACTAACTGAACACACAGATAAACCCTAAATATTACTTGTATGTATTATTGATCCCTCTGAAAGACATTTTAGACTTAGACACAAATAAATAAGTGTATCATGTCAAAGCTCTGAAGTTTGTAGCCACTTTAAAACTCTTTAAAAAAAGAAAGTTTTAATTACAGTTTTCTTAGAGCTTTTTGTAATTTTCACATGAAAACCAAAGACAAAGGTTGGTTTTGTTTTTGCCTCTGTGGATGTTGGATGATCATCAGTCAGTGAGTAAGTTTTAGAAACAGCCTCATTCAAGATGGCGTCACAGCCGATCTAACATAAGCAAACAGAAAAATGGTGACAAGTGTTAAGTAACAGTTTAATGAAGTAGTAGTAATTCACAACATGTACTTAAAACATGCAAGGTCAAGACCTTAGGCCCGACTTACCCAAATGAATCCATTATGAAAAGTTCTGGGCAATATTCCCACAAGTATTAACAGATTTTTAATATTCAAGCATTTTCAATGCATGCTGCAAAAACCAACCCAGTTTCACAATGGCTGTAGCTTTTCTAGTGGCACACAACTGTGCTTACATGTATGCTCACACAGGTGTATACCGTAAATCCTCTAATATTAGCCTGTATTTAATTAACTGCCGGGTATCATATTTTGTCCGGAGTCGGCGGAGGTGAATAATGGCCGGCTTTTTATTGTGGCCGGGTGGAATGTGGTAACAAGCAAGTACGGGGGGCGGTTGTGTCATCCGTCTCACTTTTGATTTGCCAGTGATAGACCGCGAGGGTAACTTTACCTGTGCGGAGACGAAGAGGAGGCGAAAATTTTGATTCAAGTTCAAAGAGAACGTGCTGATTATGCTGCAGAACACTCTGGGGAGCAGTAGCAGGGGTTGTATGAACTAGTCACTAGTCGACTTCACCGCTCTACAGTGACTTTTTATGCCTGTCATCGACTAGTCGCTGTCACGTGATAATGACCGGCAAGATGCAGTCCACGGAAAAGACAGCAGCCTGCTGTCAGCAGGTGACAAGCTCCTGTGCGTCGGGAGGCAACGCGCTGTGCCAGAGCGTCGGTCGGTACTGACACCCACCGTAAAACGGACATTTAACCTAATTGTGACGTTTACCCTCTTGCAATTTAACATTCCCCTCAACCCCATCCTAACCTTAACCAGCTTGTGCATGCAAAGCTCTGATTGTTGACACGCTCCAGACATCTGCGTCCTGAGCACGGCCACAGTAACATTATCAAATCAGGTGTCGCCACCTCAAAAACTAATTTAACACGTGATCGTTCATGTCGTCTCATTTCCTTTTATGTTTTCTGTCTTTTATTCTTTTATTTGTGCCTGACGCGTTTCGCTGCTGTGGATCGGGGCGCATCAACTGTTTTGTCCTCTGTGACGCACCTAACTGATGTGGCCGCCAAGCAGCTCACACTCTGCTATTTTTGCGGTCGGTAGATCTTTTAGAACTGCAGTTCAAAGGTAACTCATAAGGTGAATATATATGAACCCAGGTAGCAGTTTTTCTTTAGGATTGAGAGGAGATGCAGGAAGATAATAAACAGGCAGGACAGAAAAATAGTCAAATAAAAACAAGTTAGTTTTTGTACCTGGTGGTTGCAACAAACAGACATCACTGAAGGTAATCAGAAGTGAGGAACAGAAAATGAAATAATTATTTTAATGTTTAGAGCAGCAGGAACTCCGAGAGGCTGCAGGCGCATCAGTGAGTTTGCGGCCGCTGCGCAGAGGGAGGGGGGAGAGGGCTGAAGCAGAAACTACTGTTGTTAAAAGAAATGTGTTTAACTTTGAAAATGTGGGCACAATTTTAATTGTCAAAAACTCCAGCGAACCATTAGTTCATTTTGCTCAAATAGAAATAGAGGCCTGCCTCTAATTCTGGTCCTCCTTCCAATAAAGGCCTGGAGCTTGATGAGCTTGAGTCAAATACAGGCCCGGGCCTGTATTAGAGGATTTACGGTATATCCCTACATGGTATTTATGGTAGGCTGTGACGATCAGACATGTGTGGTAGCTTTTAGGGAACAATGTGTGCAGCAGCGAGTCAAGCTGGTGCCTGCAAACTCACAGCAGAGGCCCCTAGAGATGCTGCTGCAGATCCTCTGAGAGGAGAAAAGAGGAGGAAGAAGAAGCCCCAGGTATCCTCACAGCAATGCACCATGAGAGAAAGGAAAACACAGCGGTAATCTCTGCTGCTCACTTCTTCTTCAGCCACCCAATCCCTCCATCTCCCACTGACCAGCTAAATATTTTATCAGCTGGTAAAGAACCCCCAAGTAGCAAGGCTTGAGGTTTCTTTGTGTTGTATTTCAAATTGTTTATTTCTTTGTTTAAGAAAGTGACAGGTCTGTGTGTGTGTGTGTGTGTGTGTGTGTGTGTGTGTGTGTGTGTGTGTGTGTGTGTGACAGGTCTGTGTGTGTGTGTGCGTGTGTGTCAAAAGGGCATGTGGAGGAAGGGCTGAGTTTGTTCCCGTCCACACCATCACTGAAGTGCTTTCGATTGGTCACTTTGAAGTAAATCCCTCTGTTTTCTCTCTCTGTGCACATCATATGTGCAGCACGCTGCTCAGTTCAGAGCTGGATGAACGACCTTGAGCAGTCGCGCAGGGCTGTGTTGCCATGGCGACGAAGCCTCGCGCAGCCAGTAACAGCTGGATGCAACAGCACTCCCTGAATTTTAGCGGGAGACGCCACGTTAATAAAGCGACTCTCCGCATCTCCTCCTCCCCCTCTTTTACTCCTCTCCACGCTGCCTCACCCCTCCGTCAGCTCTCACACAAACACTCACTCACACACGGACCTGAACAAGCAGAACAGAAAACTACTCATTCTCCCAAAGATACTACTGGTTTTACATAAAGTCATTTGGCCTAATTGCTACGAGTTGGGCACATGCAGACGTTGCCGCGAGTTACAGACAAAAATCAGAGACAGCAGAGAGGACAAAAGATGGAGGTGAAGCAGAGGGAAGGTGAAAAGGTAGAAATCAAAAGTCAGACACAAGTTACAAAACGAAACAGAACAGGGAAAAGCGCATTGAGATGGGCACTTGACATTCCTCTCACAGAGGAAATAGCTCTCAGAAAAAAAAATAAAAAAAAGAAGCAGCAGAGGACATGAGTTGCACCGAAGCATTCTGGAGGAAACCGCACATCAGCTCAACCCACACAACTCTTCCTCTGAAGATCTTCATTAATTGGTTAATCAGTCTTCAATTAGCTGCTTTAAAACTACCAACTTTTTTTCTACTGAAATAAGTAAAAAGGTTGAAGAAGTGGATGATGAACCGGATCAGTTATTTACCAGGTGCTTGCTGTCAACCTAAAGAATGACTATTAGGAGACCTGGTTTCACAGTTTAGACCACTGACCAGCCCCTAACGCAGGGTTACCAAGAGCAAACAATTAAAGAGTCAGAGTTAATAAAAATTACTAACCAATTATAAATCTTTAATCAACTTAATTGTGTTTGACACAAACATTGTTACCTGTCCAAACACTCATAAGAAAGAGTGATGCTCTTACGCAGCTAAGACGATACTTTATTATTTAAGCTTATTAAGGACTGCTGAAATCTTCTGGCAAATATTCACATTTTCAGAGACGGCGTACTTCGTGGTTTATGAATCGTAGCAGGAACAAAACCTGAAAGGTGACAAAGTGGTTCTCAGATGTGAAGTGATCTCTATTACCAGATGAGACGACTACAGTTTCAACTTCTATGCTGGCATTAGCAATCGTGTTTTTAGTTATGTACTGTATACTTTCTGCTTAAAGGTCTGAGGAATTTAAAGCATATCTGAGAGGCATTTAAAACCTGGTGATGCCTGACTAAGGATACAGCAGTCAGATCGTAAAGCAGAAATAGAAGCTGGTTTAAATGAAAATCACACAAACCATTGCAAGATTTTAAAGACCGGGAATGCTTTAAAATGGCAGCAAAATGCATTTTGGATTTAAATTGTTTATAACCTTACAGCAAAATCTCACTTAAAAGTTCTCAATGAACCCTTTAAATGGAAATCTAACCCCCGAAATGCTGCTTTCATGCTAATAGACACATGAAAAATATTTTTCCAAATAAGTAATTTTTTTAAACAATAATACCAAGACTAATTTTTTATGCAGACGTTTTTCAGATTTTCTCTATAAAGGTTTGTTCTGTGTTTAAA